AGGTCACAGAACCTGGTCTCTGGTGGCAATACAGGCAGCACAGATCACGGACATCCACATGGCCTCCAGCAGCAGCCCAGACCACAGTGGACTTAATTAAGAAAATGAACCAATTGATCGCAGATATCATGTTGTTGCTTAGAGTAACTGTGATAGTGCAATTGCACAGTGTCAATTCATAAGCTCTCTGCCCCCTCCCAGAATAAACAAATTAAAAAATCTTTTTTCCGCCCTTGTTAAAGAGGTCAACTCCCTTTTTTGGGGGGTGGGGGGAAAGCCTTCTCGGAATTTAATGACTTGCTCTCATGAAGGTCACATGAAGGTGAAGGTGCACCTATACAACTGACTACCCGCTGTGGGTATGGATTTTCATCTTTCATGTCAAGACTGATACCCCTGGGGTCTCTGTCATCCGCATAGCAGCATAGAAGCTGGCATGCCAGCAAGCTTCTTCAGGTCGAAGTATCTCCATTATGTGAACTGGAAACATTGAACAGAAGCCCTGGAAGGGCTCTCTAACAGGCTCAAGCATGGCCAACACGGCACTGGCTAGTTTTTCCCTCTCCCCTTCTCTTTCCCTTGCTAACCCTTTAGATTATATTCCTAAAGATAGCCTTAAGGTCTATTCCTTTATTTGACCACCGACTCATTCCTGAGACTGAACACCAAGGTCCAGCTATCAAAACACCAAGGCCCAACAATCAAAATTCATTGTTTTCCTACACTGGCTAACTTGTCCGATCAGGACTTAACTCACCCAGCACAGACTCTCCTTTTTTTTTTTTTTTTTACCTTAAAAACACTGCTGCAGAACACATCTGCTGTTTGTCTTTGCCTGAACTAGAGGCATCCCCACCCCCACCCCAGTTGTCCCTCTGGGGTAATAAGTCTCCTTTGTGTTGAGAATTTGGCATCTGGTGGGTTCTGTACTAACTCTGAGGCCCCACTTCACCCCTTATCCACATGGGATATGCCAGAAACCACATACAGTGGCATATACTATATTTCCCTCCAAACAGACATACCTGCCACAAATGTTTACCTATTCACTTAAAGGAAGCTTTAAATGGCGTTTCTTTGGGAAAAACTGAACTGCCAACATTACTATTCTTGTGTTTTGGGGTCATCAAATAAAATACTTAAGCATAAGCATTGCCACAATGTAACAGTGGATCTGATAACCAGAAAGGCAACTAAGTGACTAACTGGTGGGTAGTATATACAGAGTGGATACCCTGGACAAAAGGATGACTTGGGTCCTATGTGGGATTTCATTGTACTACTGAGAACAGTATCTAGTTAAAACCTTAGGGGCCCTTTCTTTCTTTCTTTCTTTCTTTCTTTCTTTCTTTCTTTCTTTCTTTTTTTCTTCCTTCCTTCCTTCCTTCTTCCTTCCTTCCTTCCTTCCTTCTTCCTTTCTTTCTTCCTTTCTCTTATTTTATATATCCATCCCAGTTCCCTCTCTCTCTCTTCCACCCTCCCATGCCCTCCCCAACTCCACATGTTGGTTGACGCCTTCCTAGAGGGATCATCTAAATCTGTCAAGTCATTTGGAGTAGGGACTAGGCCCTCCCTCCTGCCTCTAGGTTAAGGGAGTATCCCTCCATGGGGAATGTGCTCCCAAAGTCTTTTTGTACACCAGGGATACATCCTGGTTCCACTGTCAGAGGTTTAGGGATGATTTCTGAAAATATCCACTTAACATTTTTACATCTTTAATGCTTCCATTTACTATTTCCCATTGATTGATAACTGAAACCCTGGAAAGAGGAACTATAGAGTGAGGGCTATCTTTTGTTTTGTTTTTTGAGACAGGGTTTCACTTTATTGCTTTGGAGCCTGTCCTGGAACTAGCTCTGTAGATCAGGCTGGATTCTAGCTCACAGAGATCTGCCTGCCTCTGCCTCCCAAGTGCTTGGAAGTGAGGGCTATTTTAACACTTGGAATAGCTTTTGTCTACTGAATTCTTTTTGTGGCTGAGATACTATACTGAGGACTGGATGAACAACTCATTTGACTCATCAAATCCTCCCAACAACCCATGTGAGGAAGATATCATCCAGAGTCTAACAGGGAGTTCGATAACTTGCTTTAGAAGGTGATGGTCCCCAAAAGTGGACTGATGCCATCTATCCTAAAACTTGGTTTTACTCAGTGTGAGGATCCTACCTCAGCCTGCTCAGTCAGTGTGCATCCTTGTAGAAAAGCAAAGAGATTCCTAAGAGTGTCCACTAATCTCAGCCAAGGGGTCACTTCTCTTCATCACAACTGGCCACCAATTTCCAGGGGAGGACAAGAGGAAAATGCTTTGATATGATTCAGTATATGAGAGTTGGCAAGTTCTATCAGTTGCTGCAAAGACCAGGGTATGTTGGAGGGCTCTAAGTGGAGCCCCCTGTTGGAGCTACTTTTGCTGAATCCCTAGAAGCGCCCACAGAGGTAGCTGCCTGATATTGGCTCTTGGCTCCCACGTGGAGATATGCTCTTTGTAGCCAACTGGGTGACTGCCCTATGCATACCTGTCCTGGGTTTAGATTATGTTCCTGGGATTCTGCAGGGCTCAGTGGGAGGAGGGAGGGCTCTGGTGGGTGTGGAGTACTGGAGGAAGGAACAGGAAAATGAGTTCAAGACTAAGGTCTGAATGGGGCCAATTAAAATCATGCATGAATATGACTTGAATTATGGAAACCTACAAAGAGAGTTTCCTAAGGCAGGAGGTAATGCTTTCCTTTTTAAGTTTTCACACATAAGAAGATACTTGAAAAGGCCTCTAGACAGACTACTTCAACTGGGCTGGACTAGTCTCAAATACCCTCCAAGCCTGGCCTCTGGCTGAGTGCAAAGAATACATGCCTGGGTGACTGGGGGGTGGGTAGCCCACATTTAAGATAAGAAACTACTTTCTACACACTCCTTATCCTGACCCTTGAGTAGAAAAGAACAGGCTCTAAGAGTGTCTTTACAATGGTAGCAGGCAATCTTAAAATAATAAAATATAAAAGCACACCTCTTAAGGTGAGTTCCAGAGAACCACTGTCTTTGACAGCCAGTCACGATCACAGAAGGGCAGGTCCTTCCCTTGCATTTGAGAACAGAACAAAGAGAAAGACGCCTGCAGGAGACTGCACTGCTTTTTGCTTGCCTGCTATTGGGTTCAACCCGAAGATCTTGCGCTGCTGCTCTCAAAGGCCCCATTTGTTGGTCAAAATGCTCCAGGGTCCTATCACCTGAAACACTCAAAGTTCAAGGGTAAAGCGCTGTCCCCATCAGGACAAGTTGCAGTCCTAGGACAGACACACTGTGTTCTTTGGCTTTTCTGCTTCCAGTGAGTTTCCATTCTGTGTCGGGTCTGATAATTTGATGTAATTTCCCCCCAAGTTATATGGATTAAAGAGGGCTTGGCAGCCACGGCTCATTCCCTGGTGTCGTAAAGGTTTTCTGGCATACAGCCATGCCCAGGCATTCTGTGGCTGCTTTCCTGCTGCAGCCTCAGAGATGAGTATTTGCAGTTGAGACCGCATATCCTGTGAAGTTGAAAGAATTCACTTCCTAGCACTTTATAATGACCACACAGTAACACTCCAGGGTAGGACAGTGCCTTGAAATCTTGAAGCCTACACAGATCAATATGGGGGTTATTAAACCTATGATGGTTATTTTAAAAAAAAGAGTAAGCTGCTGATACAGGTTCAACCATATGTAGACACAAATCTGAAGATGCTTTATGACAGGTTTCATATCTGCTTGCTGGGTTTATGTGTGCACCCCACCTCTGCCAAAGGTACCAGACCCATTTGGATTTATGATGACTCATGTCCAACCTTTAGGTTACTTTTACTTCAACTTCCCTAAAAATATGGCAAGAGCCAGAATCACCTTGTGACTCTAGTGTGCTCCTGAGTCTAAAAACCTAAAAGGAAAACACATCTAAAGAAAATTACCGAATCACCTTGTGACTCTAGTGTGCTCCTGAGTCTAAAAACCTAAAAGGAAAACATATCTAAAGAAAATTATAGGCCAACCTCCTTCATAAATTTAGAGACAAATAGTTCCTATTGTATTAGCAAATAGACTCCAGCAATGACACAACTAAAACTCAGAAGGATCTGTATTTACTTCTATTGTATTAACTATATTAATGAATGGAGCAATATTTAATACATGGAGATATTTAACTTGGCAATTAGATGCCCACTTTCTGGGTACTTAGGGGTCTTTATGTTCTTGGCCTGAACTGCAGGTGAGGATGAGAACCTCAGCTCTCCCATAGGTGACCGTGGGACTCAGCCTGGCCTTAGAGAAGATGAAGGCTGAATGCCTGATCACTTCCATTTGCTGCCTTCCAGGTTTCAAGCAAAAACACAGGGGCAGCCAGGCTCTGTTCCAGTTGTCTCACGAGTCAAACAATTTCAATGAAATCCAAACAATGGTGAAGATGATGCTCGGGAAATGCTTTTGAGAGGCGCAGGCATTTGAACAAATGTTTTACTTTCACAGTTGGGTTCAAAAAGTGGTCTGCAGCTCGAATGTGTCTATTTGTGGGGAGGACTGTGCAGGCAACAGCAAGCAAGAGAACAATGGGTCTTGAAAAGAAGAAAGGGGCCCTTCCAACGCCCGCCTTTCTTCCTCCTCCTGGGTCTTTTCAGCCTCACAAAGGGAGACATATTTTCCATATAATTGCTAAACATGTTTGCTTATTAAATTATTCTTTAATTAGTTAATGATTTTAGCCATGCTTTGCTCTTCGGATATTCATTTTGTGTAATAAAATAATTATAGATAATTAAACTATCTCAAGCCTTTTTCTTTCCCCCAGAAAACATTCTGGGTATCCAAAAATGACAACAAGTTGTAAATTAATCTGGAAAACAAAGCATGACAGATGAATGATTTGGTTGGAATTAATTAGACACTAATTATATACTGGAACTAGATGAAGAATGAGACTCATTATAAAAATAAAACGCTATTCTGAAAGGCTGCAGTTACAGTAACTTTACCTTCTGTGAGGATGGAGTTGTTTCTCATCCAAATGAGTGCCTTAACACAGTCTTCCTCGTCATTGAGGATGAAGAGGTTGTAAGGAACTTTCCCAGTGTACCTCCGCTTGCTGTTCTCCAGAACTTCTCTGTTAGTCAGGTGTTGACTCATGTCAGCCCCTGTGGGGCATGGAACCTGAGGCGTATTACAGAGAAATGGTCAAATTAGTGGTGACATGGTTGGAGGAAAAAGTCTATATCCGTACTGTGCTGTGGCCTTTTCTGTTCCCAGATATAATTACTTAGGTTTTAATAGAGAGGGAAAGAAATGCTCAGGTCACCCAATGCTATGCCATCAGTTATTTCAAAACTCAGAGGCAGAAACCAGCCACTTACTACATTCTGAGCCACACTGTTCTTGTAGGTCAGTGATCTGGGGACTAGACAAGGGGCAGCTTGTCTATGCTAAAATGGCTGGGGCCTTGGCTTGGAAGACTCAACAGCTAGTGGTGACTTGAGGCTCCAGGGATGGACTCATCTGGACATAAGGCCAGTCCTTTTACTTTCCTCCAAAGAGCATGAACAATAGCCTACACCAGCAAGTTGTCATCAACTGTTCGAAAGCTGCTGCTCCCTGTGGTGTGGAATACCCACTTATAACGTGGGTATCTCACACTGCACAGCTGGGTTTCCAGGGAAAAGGTCTTGAGAAAGGTGCTGCACACTCTTCTCCAGCTTAGTCCTGGGACCCCCAAAGTATCCCCACACAAGATTCTGTTCTTCACAGGGCAGCTATAGCGATCTGCCCAGGATTAGAGAATAAAATGCCTTAAGAAGATTGGAATGCTCTGGGTCTAGCAGAAAGGGCTATACATAGTTAAAACCATCTTCTGTGCTAAAACCATTTCTTCAGTTGCTAAATTTTAAGTCTACAGAGGAGCCGTGGAGAACATGGAAGACTAGTGTTGAGTTATAAAATGTATAAGGTATAAGGCTGTCATTCACTTTATCAGGAGAGAATTTCCCTACTTCATTCTCTCTCTCATGCACTCATACATGCTCACGCGCATGCAAGTATGCATGTGCGCGCACACACACACACACACACACACACACACACACACGCATGCACGCGCACATACACACACACACACACAGTTTTCCCTTATATGATTTCTGCTCTTTCTGTTGATACATGCATGAATGGGAACAGAAATTCTCCTCTGCAAAAAGAAAAATGACAATGAAATTACAATCAAGGATGATGGCCAACACTGGTTCTTCATGTTGAGAACACTCTGGCAACCAGAAATCTTGTGCCTTAGTCAAAGAGTTCAGCAATGCCTTAGCTCCATCCAGCCATTGCCAGGGAACAGCACAGGCTCAGGATGGCCAGATCTGATTTCTCAAGAAATGTTAAAGCCTTGGGTTTGCATGTAGACTCTTGACTTTTTATTTCTGATTCAAATTAAAACCAAACAAACACTGTTGTTAACACCTAATAAAATGGCATGGTTGTTTGAGATTGCTCAGTAGGCCACTATTCTGGCCCTTCACTCTGCCTGCCAGTTGGAAATCATGTGGACAAAGAGGCAGCCTAGGGGAAAAAAAATGAGCCTTTGGTAGAAGATCTTTTTTGGACCATGTGGCAGATTCACAATGGAAGACCTAAACTGTGAGTCAGGAAGAGTTCTACAATGACAATGGGCACAAAAGCTTGTTTGTAATACAAGACCTTGGATGAATCACACATTTCACTCCCCTTCAGTCCTTGACTGTAGTCATTTTATAAAATAGGGAAGAGGGCATGACTGTGAGGGTTCCATCAGCTACCCTGATTTGTCTCATAGAGATCACACAATAACCTTAAGGACTGCTACCACCCTGATGATTCTAGGGACAATCACATTCATATCCCAGGCATGAACATTCCTTCTGGAAGCAGATTTTCAGGCTATGAGAAAGTACAGTATTTTCTATCTTTCTGGGTAGATGTCCTAAATCTGGGCCATGATGTATGAACCTAAGTTCTTCTCTCCACAAAGACCCTAGCAAAGTCTGAGAACTGGCCGGTCATCTGGTCAACCCCAAGGAATGAGGATTCTTACAGCTAAGCATCTCAGTGCCTTAGTAGCACCTGAGTGCCTAAGCAACTCAAGCCTTAGTAGAAGCTGTTTGTTCTTTCTCTTCCTCAGTGTAATTCTTGGAAATGAATAAAATCACCATGACTTTCTGTTTTTGTGATGTATCCTTTGATACAATCATGTTCAGCAGGGAAGGAGTTTGGAGCTGCTGCCTACACTGGCATCATGAGTTTCCTTTCTCTAAGTTTCCTTTGCTGAATATTTCTGCTTTTTGTGGATTTGCTTCAATAATCTATCACTGTGTATTTCCCATTAAAATATTTTAATGTTTTATATTTATTTTTACGTGTGTGTGAGAGGAGAGAGGCAGAAAGAGAGACAGAGAGAGAGAGAGAGAGACAGACTGACAGACAGAAAGAGAGAGTGCTGGTGTCTACTGCTCCCTTGGAACTGAAGCTACAGGCAGTTGTGAGCCACTTAACGTGGGTCCTGGGAATCCAACTCAGGTAACCTAGAAGATGGATGCATGCTTTTAACCACTAAGCTATCTCTCATGCTCTTATTCCTTGCCCCCACCCCCAAGTGGGGAGGGTATGCCTACCATGGTGCATTTGTAGAGATCAGATGACAGCTTACAGGAATAATATTTCTACTTACATCATACGGGTTCCAGGGATCAAACTCAGACTGTCAGTCTTAGTAGCAAGTGCCTGTATCCACTGAGCCATCTAACTGATTTATTTTCTTTTTAATTTATGTGTATGTGTGTATGTGTAGGTGAGTGCTTATGTGTCTGTGTATGTCTGTGTGAGTATATGCCACATGTGTGTTGATACCCTTGGAGGCCAAAAGACAGGTGGTTGTGAGCCACCTGATATAATTGCTGGGAACGGAACTCAGGTCTTCTGCAAGAGCATTAAGTGCTTTTAACCACTGAGCCATTTCTCCAGCTCCTTAACTATCCTTTTACTTAAAAAAAAAATTAGGGTCATTTTAATTGAATGCTTTTCTCACATTTCAAATGAGGTGTAAACCTGGTCTTGATCTTATATCAGGGTAGCTTGAAACCATGATATTCTCTGCCATAATTTGTATTTCCTCCTATGCTATTCTGGTTTGTACTTTTACCACTGTATCCATTGCCTTTCTTTTCTCACCTTGTCCATGGTTTGGTGGGTGAATTTCTGCTCCTCAGCATACTTAGGCTCAGTTCCTCTCAACTGAGAGACTTCATCATTGAAATGCGCCCATTGGGCTTCTGTGCTTGTAAACAATGCCTACTCCTCCCTTTTCATCAGTTTCCTGATCTTTATTACATTAGTTTACTTTGAGGATTATTAGTTTTCTATTTAGCAGGTTATGTTCAAAATTCCAATGATTTACATTACTCATTGAAGTTATCTATGGAGCTACTACCCGTGCCCTCTAATGATTGTAAAACTCTGAATTCCCTCTCTGTTATTTGGAATACAAGTTAAAGCAATAAGTAAATAAGCCAAAAGCAACAAACAAACCAAAGACAGGAGATAATTTTCCTGAGGTCTTGCATGTAAAGAATAGCTTCTGAGACTTAGGTGGGCATGCAGTTCTCAAATTATCACATTGCCTCCAGAATTCCATGTTGCTAGTTCTGCTTTCTTTTGTCATTTAGTGCCAGACGGGAGCTTGTTTATGCCTTCATTATTTTTATCCTTTTAGGGGGAGCACTTGACAATCTGATATTTTTCTTCTGAAATTTGTTTGTTGCCCCCATCATTCTCACAGAACAATGAGAAATGCCTCATTCTTTGACATTTGCCAGAACGTAACTAAATGAAAAAAAAAAAAAAAGTCTCTGATTCTGCTTGGAATCAATCAAGTGGACAATTCTTTTCTGGAGTAGGGAGAGTTTTCTGCTAGCAATCTTAAATTCTTCTCACGAGTCTATCCAGAGATGAGTCTCAGACTCCAGTTCTCAGATGAGAGTGTCCCCCTTCCCTTCACGAAGGTGCCTCTCTCAGGTCTGTTCCTGGGAGAGACACCAGTGTGCATATTTCTGTGTGTACCTAACTCTCTTTTTTTTTTTTTTTTTTTTTTTTTTTTGCTTTATTTTCCCCTTATATTCCCACCCCCTGCCACCCCCAGTTTTCTGAAGAGATCTCTTCAATTTCTCCTTCCTAGAGAAATCCATGTAATCCCTCTTTGTGTTCTCCTTGCTATCTAGCTTCTCTGGGACTGTTGACTGTAGCCTGGTTATCCTTTACAGCTAATACCCACACTCATAGTGTACATACCGTGTTTGTCATTGTGGGTCTGGGTTACCTCACTCAGGATGATTTTCTTCCTAGTTCCACTGATTTGCCTGCAAATTTCATGTCATCCCTTCAGCCACACATTTTTACTTGCTTTTCGTAGGCAGCATGTTTCTGAGCCACACCCAGCTTATTCCTGCAGCTCTGTCTCTCACTTGTCTCTCCACTTACTGGCTTCTGGGAGACACCGACCCTTCAGCAGCCTATGCCTCAGTTTTGTTTTGGCTTTTGCCAAAATCACTGCCTTTGACAAGTTTTCCTCTTTCAACAAGGTTGCCCAAATCTGGGCATGAGAAGGCATCTCCCCACTTCAACAAACAGTCCATGAGGCATGTGGCTGCGTGACTTCACTACAAAGTAACCTGAGAGGGGTGTTCAGAGCTGGCATGTGCTCACCAACAAAAAATAATAAAAATGGGCTGAAGAGATGGTTCAGCAGCTAAGAGCACTTGTTCTTCTTCTAGAGGACCCAAGTTTGTTTCCCAGCACCCACATCCTCCCTGAACTCATATCAGGTAGCTCACAGACACCTGTTACTTCAGAACCTGGTGATCTGATGCCCTCTTCTGGCCTCTACAGACACCTGCACACACACACACACACACACACACACACACACACACACACACACACAACATTAAAAAAGTTTTTAAATTGATGGGAGGGTTGATAAGGGAGGCAGAGGGTGTTAAAAATTAACTAGCTAGCTAAGTCTTTCTCCAGAAAGGAGAGGTCACAGGCAATCTATGACAATAATGGAGCAGGGCCAGAGGTTCCATAAATGAGCTGTTTGGAACTCTGAAGATCACTGCTGAAGAAGGGTAGGGATGCTTCAAACTGGGGAGCTCAGAAAAGCGGGCTTGCAAGTAGGAGTAGGTTAGGCATGAACCCAGCCCTCATCACTCCTGTTCTTCATTACAGCTCAGGCTTTGCTTTGTGGCCAGATTCTCTGAATAAAATCAAATCAAAACAAACAAACAAACAAAAAACCTTAAATGGCATATATTTAGATATTGAAAACATTGCAGAATGGTTTAGACTGAGGTGTGCTGACTGGAGGCTAGGGTTTGTAATTATATGTTATGAGAGGCTGTCTTCTGGCTTTGGGGTTAAGTTCTACTGTCCTCATTTTAATTTGGCTTACAAATCAGGGACAAAACCATGCTAGCTGGAGTGAAGGATACTGGAAAAGCCATAAGGACTAGAAGGTCCCCGGTGGATTCAGCTGCCCTTTCTCTATCACTCTATGTACCTTTGATTTTTATGTCCTTCTGGAAAAATTAAATTGGAACTCCCCTTTATCACTTCTTCATTTCATTTTTCCTGTTGTAAAAAGGGCAAGAGCTTAATGTGCTGCTGAGTAAAGCTGCAGGGGCAGCTGGGCACACATGGGCAGATGCCCGGGTCTCTGGGCAGCTGGCTGAGTCCTCTGCTCCATTTCCAAAGTGTGCAATTGCAGGCAGTGGCTGCAACCAGTGGGCAGGTAAGGGGGAACAAGCTAACAGGGCGCAGTGTATTTCATTTAGTGAAAAGTAGAAGGAATTCTTAAATAGCAAAAGGAAGCATCTCCCCACTTACTTTTATTCTTTAACCAGGAAGATTTTTTTTTAACCCTCCAAGAATAAGGCTTATTTTTTTTTTTAAACTTCAAAGACTTTTCTTTTTAAAGATTGATCCAAGCCACTCAAATTGCAGCCCATTCACTGCAGCATTGGCCTCCCTGGGGAGTTTGCTCCCCGCACTCTGATTGCTCCCTGCTCAGAGCTTGCATCTTAAAGGCATGCTCAGGGGTGGTGTGCAACCAAGCAGTTTGGGAAGTGTTGCTGTAAGGTGCATGTAAGGCATTCGCGTCAAGAAAGTTAAGTGGCTCCCCACCTCAGTTGGAGCCATCTGGGAAGCCGAGGAAAAACACTGATGACCAGCCAGTCCCACCTAGCATAACTGAAGCAATTCCTGGGGACACAGGTGTAGATATGTTTTGAAAGCACCCAGGGAAGTCTAAACGTGCAGCCAAAGCTGCGGGCATCCATTCAGCAATACCGTGGCTATTCAGCACATGCAAAGCATAGGTAGCCTGGTGAGATGGTTTCGGAACCCATCCATAAGTTACAAAGTAAACCGGCTTACTGGGAAGATGCCTGGTTTTCATGCACCGCACACGGCAGTGTGGGAAGCCCAGGATCTGCTGTCCTCAGACAGCCATGCTTTAGTCAGACATGGTCACTGGGAAACTAGTCGATCTGGTTTCCTAGTTTTATAACTGAGAGACAAAATAAAATAAGGGTTGACAGAAGGTGCACATGTTTGAAATACTTCGGCGTGAGCAGCTCACCCCAGCCAAATGCTAGCCTCTTGAGGCATAAATTAATTTAGCACAAATGCATGCCTGGTTGGGTCTGGAGTCTGCTATGATGATCCATAAGTGTTAGACTTTGGGACAACAGCTTCAGGAATGACATTTCTCCAACTAGCTGTGATTTTTATCCCCCCATCAACAGAATGTTTTTCTTGGAATGGCTTTCCTGGGAGGGTTTGCAGACACCATTCTGGTCATGTGTGCAGGCCTTCTGAAGAGCACTTTTATGAATATAGAGTGGCAGCTGTGTGGGAAGACGCTCTTTGCTCAGAGAGTGTGCGCTGCAGTGAGCATATTGTCATCTCCGCGTGCGCCAGCAGTGCCCCGGGTGCACAGCCTTACCTGGTACTGCTGCCCAGTACAGAGAATGAGGTGGTCGTAGAATACAGTCTCATTCTTGGAAACCACAACATGCTTGGCTGCTCGGTCTATGCCCGTCATCCTACCAACCACAATGTTAACCCAGGAGCACAGTGACATCAATGCATAATCTTTATCATTAAAACAGTGGCTGCAAAGAGAGAAACTCCATCAGTGACATTTGAGCAGCTGACAGTGGGCATTAATTAGACATCTGGCGAGCTGGTTCAAGTCCCCTAGTGAGCTAGATTTGTGCCCTTGCTGTGAGCTTACCAGGACCAAAACTTAGAGATTTTATTATTTTTTTTTCCTTATGAAACACTTAAGTCACAAATTGACATCCTCCTATTAAGGCTAAATTGTTCCGCCTGGCTTAGACAAGTCCAAAAGGGAGAGGGTTTGTGACTGTGTGTGAGATCACCTAGACATCCTTCTATCCCTATTTCATGGTGATCCAAAATCTACTTGAACTGTTAAATTGTCCTACTGGCCACAGACTTCAAAGGAATGAAGAAGGAGGAATATGACACTCTGGGGGACCCCCAAAGGCAGGGGTCAGGGTCCAAAAGTGTGAAAGATCCTTCTTATTTGATGTAAAGGACTCTTTCCTTCTGCGCTAGTGACAAAAGCCACTTATGGAAAATGTCAAGGAGTTAAGTTCACAACAAGTACAATGCCTGGAGATTTGGGAGCCTAGTATGTAGGGCAGAGGTGATTGATGGGGAGCCAGCACTTTCACATACATCAGCCTAGCGTGGGTGAGTGTGCTCAGGTTATGGGGTACTGGGCGCTGAATGGGCTTTCTTTCTTTCCTTTTCTTTTTTTACCCCTCTGGCTCTGTTTCAATTGTACACTGTTGTAAAGTAACAGAAACAGGATTCCTGTGATTTGAGTTTATGCAGAGAGGGTTTTATGTGAAATCTGTCAAATTTTTATGCAGGGGTTTATGGAATTTTCTCAAAGGTTTCACCTTACGTAGGTGACATTTTAATGACCTTGATCTGAAGACTGGGAATCTGCAGTGACAGGAGAGTGGGTAATTCATTTACATTTAGGCTGCATTATCTTTTCTGGAAAGAACTGTGCCAAGGTCTGTATCTTTCTTCTTTTGCCAATGAGCCTGGACCCCAGGGACCCTTTATCCCTGTTTCCTCACCTCTCAGCATAGGATAATGAGCCCATCCAGTGTGCCTCCACCACTGTGAAAGATGGGCGCGAGAATGTGGGAGATACTGTTTTGTCAAGTGTGATGCATATGTGCGGGCTCTTATTCTAAATAATATTAATGATACATAATCCTGTTTACTCTCTTTGGAGGCAAACAGGGCTCTGAAGTGGTAATGGGAGGACATTTTTTTCTTTTTGATCCACACACGAGTCTAGTCTCACCACACAAAGAGAATTCTCGTAATGGATGCACATTAGACCCCGTTAACGGGGCCTGTGAAAAGAGATGGGAGCACTAGGCTTTGTGTTGCTCCACGAAACAACGCTTAAAAACAAGAAAATTTCTCCTTAATAAAAAAAAAAAAAAAAAAAAGGAAAATAAGGAGCTGGCCTGTCACAGGAAAATAATGGATAGTGAGATGAAAATCTTAAAAAAAAAAATGATAGTTTTACAAGAATATATGAAACTTCGCTGTTTCCACACAGTCACAGGAAACACACAAAGGACTATTTGTATTTGCGATGTGGTCCCTACTGCAAGCCATCCAAGATGAGGAAAAAAATTAAATATAGTTAGAGCCCAGGATTAGTCTTAGGAGGATTTGCCCAAAGATAAAAGCTCTCTGGGGAAATTTGTGGGTGGCTAAGACAATGCTGTTTCTAATGACAGTGGGACAGTACTGTTGGCAATGCCAGAATGCATATTTCACAGCTGGAATCTGAAACTCTGTCTGGGAGGAGCTGACACTTGGGAATACTCCATTTTAAAGGTTTGTTGAGACACACGAGGGAGTACTGAAGACTGTGGTTGATGCCCACACAGTCTGCCAACTTTCTCAGTTTAAAGTTCTATTGTGTATGCTCACAGTCCCCATTTTGGATACTGCTACCCCTCTGGACTGTCTGTAGTGTCTCCATCAGATGAGTGGAATTATCTATTGGAGAAAAAATAATCTCCATTTTTGTCTTTTGTCTTTTGTTTTCCAGGGAGCTTTACAAGCTTCAACACAGTAGAGATTGTTTCATGGCTTCACACCATCGCCTGGTCCTCTGGAGAAAGAGACAAGGAAGCACAGAAGTTATACTCATGAGAGTTCATCTTTCACGAGCAAGCTTAGTGCTGACTCAGACACCTGGGGACAGCATCTTGTGGGAGAGCGCTTGCCTGAAGTGCACAAAAAGAAAAAGAAAAATGGAAAGCCGTTGTTATAGAAAAATCTGGAGAAACAGCTGGACATGGTGGCACAGGCCTCCATCCCACCACTCGGCAGGAGGATGAGCATTTGAGATCAGCCTGGGATCGATCCACAGTGAGTCTGTGTCTCAATAAACACATAAAAACAGGATGGGGAAATTTCTGAAAGATGGCATAGACAAGATATACAAGTGTACAAGGTGTGGCCTTCTTGTCAATGTTTTACAGGCCCAAAACCTGATAGTAAGAAACAGCCCAAGCCCTTAGGTGCACAGTCAGAAGTCACTTCACAGAAATGAATGTTGAGTCTGAACAGATTCATGCCTCAAAGAGGCAGAATTCTTCAGAGGTGGAAAGAAACTTCGGGTTTGTAGGGGATTAGCTGTGACACACTGGGAAGAAGGGCCACTGCAATTAACTTTCAATTATTCAGGGTTGATTGGCCAATTAGTGGCTTTCCCCTGCTTCCTGTTCCTCTTCCCTCCCACACCTTCTTCCAGCTGCCACCTAGGTACATCGTTAGCACCTCAACAGAGGCTAGACTGGGAGGTGGGGGGGGGGGTGGAGAAGACAGAAATGGCTATTTATTAAAAAATATCAACAACAATAATGAAGCAACAATAATGAGCACTAAAGACAAGCTCACAGTTCACACTGAGAAGAAGGAATCTGGATTATTAGATTTATGTATGTTATTTGCACTTATTATTATTGAACACCAGGATCCCAGGCAAGTTCCTCTCTGAGGACCATTTGGAAGACAGTGTCCTGTTCCGGGTGCAGCCTGTGGTTCCTGAGCATCAAGATAATGGGAAGGTTCCCACCCAGGTGGGTCTGGCTGCTGGGTCTCGTCCTTCACGGGGAGGATATCTGCTGCTTCTTCTGGGGTGGTTCTCACTTTTTCTACATTATAAAATTCCTGCTCTGGTGGAGTGCAGGATTGGGGGATTGGAGACAATAGATGCCATCTTAAAAAGAAAATTAGGTAATATTTAGGAGAATTTCGAGTTGGAAAAAAAATAGAGAAAAGTAAGATTTAGTTAAGTGGTTGGGATGAATGAGAGAGTCAGGGTAGATGGTAGGAAAGGGGACATCTAAGAAAAAAGCGAAGGTTTGTCTGCTGTATTGATTGCCAGTCTGGAGAAAATGGAGAGAACTGAGCAGAAGTAATGAAAGATGTTGTAGAAGTTTGAATGTCATTGGCCCCCATAAGCTCATAGGGAGTGACACTATTAGGAGGTATGGCTGTGTTACAATAGGTATGGCCTTTTTGGAGGAAGTGTGTCACTATGGGGGTGGGTTTTGAGGTCTCATATATGCACAAGCCAGTGTCCCAGACCACTTCCTGTTGCCTTCAGGTCAAGATGTGGGACTCACATCTTCTCCAGTATCATGTCTGCCTACATGCCACCACGACACATCATGATGGTAATGGGCTAAACTGTAAACCAATTAAATGTGTTTATAATAGTTGCTGTGGTCAGAGTGAATCTTCATAGCAACAGAAACCCCAAATACAGTCAGTGAAAAAGACCTTATAAAGTTCATGCATTCTAGAACATTCTGTGATGACAAAAGCACTCTGAAGTGAGCTGTGCTAGTATAATAGTGGCGTGCTTAACTGTTTGAGCCAAAAGTGCAAATGTGATCAGGGAAATTTTCAACTCATCTAATTATTTTAAGTGGAAATAACCCCTTGTAGTCTGTAGCTACTCAACTGGACAGTAGAGTTCCCAAAGACAAGTAGCCGATATCATCCAAATCACGTGTGTGTGTGTGTGTGTGTGTGTGTGTGTGTGTGTGTGTGTGTGTGTGTTGAGAGGACAGAGACAAGGGTAAAGACGGTAAAGATACAAGATTACTCCTCATAGCTGCTCTTGCTGCCTATGTGTGTCTCACCTGAAGGAAATCAGATACATTGTTCTCACTAGGTCACACTCAACCTCCAGATGGGCAGAAACTTCCAACAAGGTGGCTGACTTAAATTCCCATTTCTGGGGAATCATGTAATTTACAGAATGTGAAAGCAGGGCTGGTGAGTCAGCTCAGCAGGTAAGAGTGCTGTTGCTCTTGCAAAAGACCTGGGCTTAGTTCCCAGCACCCATATGGTGGCCCACCTGATGCTCTCTTTTGACCTCAGCATGGACACACATGGCACACAGGCATACATATTGGTAGAACAGTCATGCATATAAAATAAATCTTTAAAAAATATGAAAATGAGAAGGGGAAAGAGAGATATCCATGGGTGTATCCCCCTCCTCCTGGCTAGGACTTGGTGTTATGCTTACTTTAATAAAAAAAAATTCAGCATACTTTATTGAGCATATACTTTTCACAATCAATCAAGAAAGCCTAAGTCCAAGAGAAATAAAACCCCTTGTCTAGACTGTGGTGGTAGGAGTGGTTCTAGATCAGCACACACATATACACACCCAGCTCAAACTCCATATATTTCTAATTGTGCTGAATGGCATTCTTGATTTATATAATAAATGTACTATATACCTATATATATCAAAGTGCATGGTCGAATAAAGGTGGGGTTGATAGCTTATTGTGAAGCACTTGCCTAGTATACTCAGGTCCCCAGGTTGTAGCCCTACCACTACAAACCACAGCAACAGAATTATGCAGAGTGAGGAAGGTGTTAATTGAAAACGGGCCTGGTCCTACTGGTAAAGAAGGGGAGGGTTTTCCCAGTGGAGGTAAAACAAAAGGAAAGTGAGTTCTTCATCAAAGATTCTGCAGAGCCCCCACCCCACCTGGAAAGGGGATGATTGACCTTTCTTTCTCTTCACTTTGAACATCGGGAGTCAATTTCTCCAATGCAGAAAGCCTGCGTTTTGCTACCAGAAACAAATTACTGGAGGCTGCGTAATAAGGAAATGCCATTTCTAAGAACAGGTGTTGTCAAACAGTGGTTCTGCTGGGACAAGAAGGGCATAGCTCTCCTGGCCTGGTGAGGACAGTTCTAAGCTAGCTCCAGGTGCCTATGGTTTGGAGGGGTGGGAGAAAGGCTCACACCCTAAGTTGGTGCCTATGGGGTAGACTCCTGGACACAGTTTCTCTGTCCTATTCCTCAGACCCCAATGTAGAGGTAGCTGGGCTTGTGAGATCCATCTGACTGCAGGGACAGGGAAGCTTGTCTCCCCTATAGATGCTAGCCCTGTCCTGCCATGCTGGACCATTCACTCACTTTCCTGCTGGTCTTGTGTTAACTTGGCCCAAGCTAGAGTCATCTGAAAGAAGGGAAACTTAACTGAAAAGATGCCTCCACAAGATGCAGGTATAGGGCATTTTCTTAATAATTGATTGAGGCAGGGCCCAGCACATGGTGGGTGGTGCTATTCCTGGGATGGTGGTCCTGAGTCCTGTAAGAAAGCAGGCTGAGCAAGCCAAGAGGAGCAAGCCAGTAAGCAGCATCCCTCCATGGCCTCAGTCGGCATCAAAATCTGCCTCCAGGTTCCTAACCCATTTGTGTTCCTGTCCTGACTCCCTTCAATGGTGACAGTGATATGGAAGTGTGAGCCAAATAAATGCTTTCCTCCCCAAGTTGCTTTGGTCATGGTGTTTTACCACAATAGAAACCCTAACTAAGACACACTCTGATGGTTTGAACTTTTATTTCCCAATTAATGCCTACTCTAGGAGAAAAGCCCTCTATATTCCCCTTTGAAATCTATTATTTAACATTAAAAAAAAAATAAAAGACTGCACATGAATTAGGAAGGAAAATGAATCATACTCGCTTGCTAAAAACTTCCTTTGTTCGTTGCCCAAAAGTTTTTTTCCAGGGAGTCCATGAGTTGAAATCAGGGTGAGATTGTTAAACTTCAGGTGAGAGCTGAAGAGAAATAAAAAGAACATTTTTTAAAAAGAAGTTAAACATGGTTAAATGGAAATTTACTGTGATGCAGTTGAACTTTACTTCAGGTATCATTCAACTCTTGGCTCTTTTTACACAAATCTTCAAATAGAATCATCACAACAAAAATGGAAGGTGGTGTTATAGTGGCTAATTGCAGAAAATTCTAGAGGCTGTATAAGTGTATGGCAGACACTTTGATTTTTTAAAATTGCTTCTCCCAAATTAAAACAAAAGAAACCACAAAAAAATTGGGAGGTGGGAGATAATTCTGCATAAAGTAATAGGAAGTTTGAGTGTCGGCCTGCTTATAAGAAACTGGACTCCTAGCCACCCAAAGTACAGCACTCACTTTGAATGTATTTCACCCTGGAGTTCTTGGGGTAACATGATGATGTCAGTAGTAGCATTAGCTCTATTTTCTCAGGTGCAACTGAGGCACAATGGTTTTTCTAAGGCCACTGTCTGGCTCTGATGTTGCCTCCCCTAACCTTTGCCTATAGAGTGGTCCCCTGGAATTTGGGAGGGGGTTGATAGGACTTCCCCAGTGGACATCAAAATCTGAAGATACTTAAGTCTTTGATTCATGGTGCTGTGTGACATCCACACATAAGCTGTACACTGCCACTTGAATACTTTACGTCATATCAGAATTATAACTTGTACAAAATAAGTAGTAACTGGTATACTATGTTGTTTAGGGAATGAAGCCTGCGTGTCCTCAATGTAGTGGAATTTTTCTCATAAGGGTTTTCTGCTGATGTTGACTGAATATACAGATGGAAAACCCCACTATCTCTATGCCGGCCGCATTGTCCCAGAGACTGGAAATCGTTCAGAGGCTTTCCCAGATCACCAATCCCCACGGTTCAACACCAGCCTTTTCACTTTCAGACATATATAGTTACCCATGTCTGGGTACCAAAGTGTCACCTAACAGAAGAATATCCTAGAGAATCCTTTTTAAGAACAAGGTTGTCTCTTGGCATGGTGGCATACGATGATAATTCCAGAATTTGGGAGGCAGAGACAAGAAGATCATAAATTCCAGGCCAGTCTGGGCTACTAGTTAGAGCCTTTCTCAATAAACCACACCAAACCAAAAAGCCAAACTGTTTTCTATGTGCACCATGCTTTTCAAGCCAGAGGCACTCACAGGCATAATCATGGAGATTAATCTTCAAAACAGTCTACACTGGGGCTTTGGAGATAATCACAGGCTATGTGTATTTCACGTGTATTTCACATGAAAGAGTGAAGCAGGGCAAAGGTAAGTACTTTCTTTAAGCTCATGATGCTCCAAAGCAGCAGGGGTCTGAGGAGCTTTCCAACCCCAGGCAGCACTCCCTTTACCCGGCTGTGCCTGCCTCTGCAGGTAGGCTTGCCCAGCACCTGCAGAAAGTTCCATAAACTCGAATGCTTAGTGCTCACTCTCTAGTTACCTTTCAGTATTTTAGACACTCCTTTTGCAATTTGTCTTCTGCATAGGCAGTAAAATATTGTGGGTGAGATCTCATCCCAAGAGCCACAAAAACATTTGTCCCCTAAAAATCTCTTCTTGGTTTACATGGCCCCCTTCAATCAACCAAAAGCTAGCAAGAAGGCCTTCGCTGGGCCAGAGGAAAACCCCTGCCTTCCTTTCTCAAGAGGAGGTTGGTGATCTTCCAGCTACCAGTTTACTGGTAGTTTGTTAATTAGCTCTAAAGACAGAACTCTGGGTGATGGCACAGGGTAGGGGTGGCGCCTTGAGCACGGTGGGGGGCATGGTGGGCATGGGGATCGAGGGTGTCATGCAATACATTCAGCTGAACCTGACATATGAAAGCAGCTAAATGTTATGAAAGGTTTTGATCTCTAGTCTCTAATCATGGCTATCATTTAAGAATGAATATTCCTGTTTAATATGAAGAAAGCCAAGCATGTCTTATCCTCTAACAGAAGGCATAAAAATTCGGACTATCTTCAAATAGCCTAAAGGCTACAGTTAACCCCGCCTACTTAGGCGTGGTTACTCCACAAGCATACACCAATAACAGGTCCATGGAAAACACAAATGATATTCATGATATTCGTGATATTCACCACGGACAGTTTAAATTTACTCTGGTTCTGGATCTCCAGTCATCAAAATGCACTTTACATAGTACTAGTAAGAGCTACATACAGGCCTTTTGTATATCACCATGTAGACAGGAGGCTTAATGGTTATGCAGCTTTATCTTTTACTATCAAAACCATCCCTTTGGTATGAGTAATTTGAATTATCTAACGCTATGGATCAAATGACTTTTAAATTGCCAAATTACCACATTTTGTTATCCTGGATTGTTTTACAATTAAAAAATTTTCTCAAAAGATAAAAGAATGTTCCCAAAAGGCAGAGTATGAGTTTGTTGTTTTCTCTTCTTCTTCTTTTCTTCTTCCTTCTTCCTCCTCTTCCTCTTCTTCAACACTACCTATAATGACGCTCTCCTTGTCAAATGCCCATGGCAGCAGACGTCTTGTGATGACTTAGTATGCCAGTTCAGTGCTGATGAAGATGGCTCCTTGGAGTCGATGGGAACATGGCTCCATTTCTCTGTTTCTTCGAGTGTGGATATATTCTCAAAGTCAGCCTAGATCCATGGCAACTCTTGGGGCCCCCTCCACCCACCCGTCACATCAATATTATGGGCAGAAGGAGGGAAATGTGGTGTTAAAAGGCAGAATTCCTCAAGCCAATTATATCAAGTATAGTTTATGTGTGCCAAGAAAAAAAGTGACATGCCAACTGGGCAGCACCCAGAAACTAGAGCAGTTCCTGAAAACAATGGTAGCAGACAGTATTTGAAGAAAAGCCCCAAGAGACATATAGAAAACAACTTAGGCAATTGCAGGTTAGACAAACACCCCATTAGCTGGCGGGAGAGCCTCTGGAACCTTTACTGTGACGGAACTCACATTGGTTTGAGTTGGCCCAGTACAGGAGGAGCCTATCCCAAATCAATGGCTTCCTAGCATCGTCATTTAACAGCAGGAAGGACAATGTATTAAAGAGATCATCAGGCAGTGGCACATGACATTTCTGCTTATATTAGCAGATCTCACTGCTAATGCCACATGTCTTAGGCAAAGGAAGTTGGAAAGCATGGGTTTTCATGAAACATAGTGATTATTTCTTCCCCCTAGGAACCACATTGCCCTGTGTTCTATCACTACGCATAGAGTACAGAATGAATCCTGGGGAACAACTAGCAGTCTTGGCTTGGACTCATACCAACTCATGAAGGAAGCTTGTGGTGAGGACAAAAGAAGAATCTTAGGAACCAAGAATTTTGGCAAAATAAATAAATAAATACATGACATACTGCACAAAAATCTCAAGAAACAAAAGGAAGGCTTGCACAGGATTATGGGAGCCAAAGGGATAGAGTCATGCAGAGACTAGCAAGATAGGGTATGCCATCACAATCTTAAGCCCAGAGGACAGAGGCAGAGTGGGGGGCAAGCCAGGGAAGCTGTGCAGATGACCCTTAGGAGCTATGGCCACAATCCTACTGCCTGAAAGTTGTCGTTCATGATTTTTTTTAATTAGCCAGCTCTCCCTCATTTATACATTTATTTCTCACCCAGCTTCCTAGTCTTCATGCCCACTTCCCCAGGTGATTCCACCCATCTTACCTATTTCCCATAATGCACTTGACTATGATTTAATGTTCCTTCTGAGGTATAGATTGAATTTCTAAACGTTCCAGGGTCATCCCAAATTCAGCATGTACAAAGTAGGATGCTCCAGGGCATTCCAGATCAAATATGCAGCCAAACAGAGCTCCTGGCAGTTTCCACTCCAGTCCTTTCTCTGTCAAAGTCATGGCCAACTCACTATCTCTTTTGCTAGGAATTTGGAAGTCATCTTAGATGATGGGAGATGTCATTCTGTATATGTTTCTCATACTGGTTAATAATAAAGCACTGTTGGAAAGGAAGATAGGAGAGACAAGGAGGAAATAGGAAGTAGTAAGGAGGAGTCAAGATGGAGAGTCTGGAGAGAGCAGTATGTGGCAGCCGGCTCCGGGTAAGAAGACCACGTAAAAATACATAGATTAACACAAATGGGTTAATACTTAAGACAGAGCTAGCCGATAAGAAACTAGCACCTGGCCAATAGCATTGTATCAAATACAGAGTCTCTGTGCGTTATTTGGGGCTGTCGGCGTGGCGGCAGGACAAGACCAGGCGGCGGGTGGAAAAACCATACGGCCTTACACTTAGATTCCTCATTTCCACTTATTATACCAGTTACTGTGTCTGGTCGTTTTCACCCGATCTGTGTTCTTTAACCCCAGCCCATCTGCCACTCCCAAAACACACTGTGATAACTGACCATCCACCTGAAGAAATGGACTTAAGGTTGTGTGTCCCAATACACATTTCGCTCCTGCTCCTTGTCCACACAGCTACCAGAAATGTCTTTTTACAGTAAGTCTTATTTCAGTGGTTACTGGTTTTGGGAGTGCAGCCTTTGCAACAGAGCTGAGAAGCAAAGAGCTTGCTTGGGTTTGAGAGACACACTGTCTCAGTTGGACCCTTAGTGCTGGCTTCTTGACCTCAGGCAAGTTATTTAACCTTTTTACCTGTAAATGGGAGTGACAGAATCTAATGGGCCTTAGGGGAGCTGTGCAAATGAAAGGAGATGGGACCAAGAATGTTCAGACAGATTGGTTCAATGGATATTAATCATTTCATTGCCAGGATAGTAAGCCCAGATTCACTAGCATGGTATGTGTGTCTTTATGGTCAAGGGCTAATCTAACTTTCCCATTGTTCTTTGCAAAATCAACCTTCTCACTGTTTGCTGATGGTTCCCCATACTCTCATTCCTGCATATGGAAACACACCGGCATTGTTCTCTCTCTCTCTCTTTTATTTTGCTATGGTAGTTTACTATTCAATGGGCTACAGCAACATTTGAATGCTTGATTTGATTTAGTTCAATTGTA